ACAAAAAAAAAGACCAAAGAAAATAGTGATGCAGAATACAGAGATAATGTTGATAAGGTTTGGTGCGGGCCAACATCCTGTCCCAAAATAAAGTGAGACAGAAAATTGGAAAGCCATCGAGGACTCGGAGTCCTTGAGCCTCTCCCAGTCCTAAATCATGTTTCACTCATCAAAGAAATACAACCTTACTGATCGGAACTCGAGTTTCACTCTGCAGCTTTTTTATTTCTTCTTATTAAACTTTATCAAATTGTTATCTTAGCATTTTAAAAGAGCGCTTTTCTGTCCACAGAAAAGACATGAATATTGTCCAATCATACCTTTGAGTTAATATTTGACAAATCTCGAGCTGTAGATAAGCATGCCTGCAAGATTTTACTGCTGGTTTAATAAAGGTTAGTTCTTCAATTTCAGTAGAAAATACTGTGTGAATTTCAAGCGAAAAAAAATCACTTGGAAAACACTCTCGGGGCGCCTGATGGCCTAGTGGTTATGTTGCAGGCCCCATGTACAGAGGTATTGTCCTTTTGCAGTGGCTGTGGGTTCTGATCCAAACTGTATGTCACCCCCCCCACCCTCTCCTCCTAACATTTCCTGTCTCTTTTCAGCTATTATTTTTGCAAAAAAGAAGTGTGTCAAAATATCCACAAATGTGTTAACTTATCTGAAAATATATCGAGTTGTTTGTCAAAGAGCTCAAGGCTATAAATGAGTCATCAGTTACAACATCAGCTGACCTCTAAATTGGCTTTCTGTTTACATGTGACTCTCCTCTGCTGCAAGATACACAGCGAATGTGTAATGCAACAAAAAAAAAAAACATGTGTGGTGATGGGTTGTTTCCACTTATTTGCAGGTGAAACTCAAAGTTTATTCAACAGGTGTTTTAATGATCAGAAAGACTCCAAATCAAGACAAATGGAGTTCATCCATCATCTGACTTTGACAATGCTGACAGAAAGAAATCTGAAAGCTCTTTTAGATGGAGTCATCCTGATATATTGGCAGCATGATATCTAAGCAGTAAGTCTTCAGCCTGTCAGGTCAAGGGAGCGCTATAAACTGACATCCTGGGATCAAACTTATCCAAACACTGCTCTTCCTGCCATGACTTTTTACAAATGAAATAAACAATGTCTCAAAGGACACCAGCATCATTATTCTCCCTCTCTCTATCTCTCTCCCGTTCTGTGAAAGTCTGAGGATGGAAAAAGTGACTCTAACCTGGAAGGTAGAGATCAGAGTCAAACATGTCCCATCAGTCCTCGGCGCTGAGTTATGGGACAAGGTGCTTTAATAGGACAATATGAGGGACTGGAAATTTACAGTTCTCTGTCTGTGTTGCCTCGTTCACATCGCTGTAAGCAGCTCAGCGACGATATGATACATGGTCCTCCTGTATCACAGCAGCAGATTTTTCCCCTCTAAAGACCCTGACCCTGACTCCCCTTTTTATCTTTTACCTTTCTCTTCCTGTTCTCCTCCTCCTGTCTTTTCTGTTTTCTTTTTCTCCTTTGTCATGTGTGCTACCTCTTTGTTTCTCACTCCAACACAGCTCACCACATTTTCACTGAAAAAGTTCAAATCTTGGTCATTTAAAGTCTTGGATGAAAGCAAACTTTTCTGCAAATATATTTCTTACCTGGCTTTTCTTACAGTAAGTCAGAGCATTTCTCCTGTTTCTTTTCTTTTGTCATCAATTATCCTCCTTTTCACACATGCACTCCTGACATTTTCTAGATAATTAGATAATTAGATACTCCGGCTCTGGTATTATCAGGAAATGTCACGGTGAACACATTCCTTTTTTATAAAGTTTCTCATTCCAAGCACAATGCAAAATTTTCCCCCCTATAAATTCAGTCTAGCTTGTTTCTAAATATCACTAAATGCTCAATATCAGGACGTTATCATACATGTTGATAGAATAAGTCGAACAACATTATTTTGAATCTTTAAAGCGGTGTTTACCTCTTTCTTTCTGAGTGTTTTTTTTTTTAGTGCTGACTTTTTCTCACACTCTTTCACATGAGTTCTTTTTCTCTTTGATTAAGTGAAGTGGTGCAGGTTTGACTGAGCTTCAGCCAGAATAACCTTGACCACAGGGACTATTCATTAGCATTGTCTCACTCCCTTTGGGGAGGTCAAAGCGTATTGGAAAAAATAAAAAACCAACCCCCCTTGGACAAAAGCACATGCTCCTGCCTTCAGGTAAAGTGACATAGCCCCCTCACAGACCCCTGTTGAACCCCTCGGCCCCCCTTCCTTTACCTCCACCTCACCTCTGTAGCCTTATTCCCGCTCCTTAGGGGTCGTTAGTCAAACAAACTGTCGGATTTCCCATCCTCTATCATCATCACGGCTTAAAGGAGAAGCCTGCGCGTTGGGGAGATTCCCTCGTTTCAGTTTATCTGCAGCGTGATGACAAGACCGGCACCGGAGTGATCCATGTGTCTCTTCACGCCGCACTGATTCACACTTTGACCGTGCACAGCTTGTGTCTGTGTTCCTTCTACTTTTGAGTTTTCATGCAGTGCGAGACGTATCATAATTTCTGTCATCAAATCATTAAGTGGGCGACCTTCAATTCATCTCTAGCCGTTTTCTGGTTGTTCACACATGCACACCTCACAGCGGGAGATTATCCCGCTCGGATGGGAGGGGGAGCGGGGCGTCTTCTGAGGCAAGATTTCTCGCAGGAGAAACTCCAGATAACCACTGCTCTAGAGGATTGCCCATTCACTGTAAGTGAATGGCCAACATGTTTCAATCCCTTAAAACATGTTGTTTGAGTTGTTATGACCGTCCTTTTCTATTGGTTTTAATGCTGTAATTATGTTTTTTTTAAGATTCAAGATTCTGTTCATTTATCTGCATACATGAAAAAGATGACATGGAGTCCTTCTGTCTGTTAAATTAGTGATTTAGTTTGATTGTGTTGTTGTGGACTGTTGTTCGAACAACACTTTTCGTCAACTGTTGTTTTTAAATGTGCTTTGGATCGAGTATTAATATATATTTCCTAGGAGGTCATGGTTCACACACAGAGGTCAGGACTTGGTACGTACTGTACCTCAGTTTTTGAAGTCCTGGGCGAATATTTCCAGATTTCTCTAATTTATTTAGAACGGACGGTCAAGCATCTTGTGTTGTTTAGAACGTCCTGTGGTAAATAGTACAGCCTGTAGGGTATTAAACATTTAACAACAAAAAGGGAAATGAAACAAAATTATGCGGAATAGAAAGCAGCACATGCATGAAAAACATCTCCTGATTTGAAAATATAAAATAAAAGCAATGTAAAATAAAATTATTCACTGCTTGCGTTTACCATGAAAGGACAACGGACTAGCTTATGTGTGCACAGGATTTGACATTGTAACGAGGCTTGAGCACTTCTAATAAACACTTTTAGCCGGGACCCTCTTCTTCTGCATATGCAGGCATAGCCTTAAAGAAGTTATTAGTTTCTCTCATGCTGTTGACTCTTTGTGCTTTTGTGTAGCTCCGGTGATTGGCACCTCGGGTTTCCTATGATATACCTCACTGTAAACCAAAAACTTCCCCGCACGACTGATTTATATGAGTCACAAACATATTTTACAAAACAAAAATAACAGTATGCAGCACAAGTGAAGTGCGGAGCAACATGACTGTTAGCTTCACCGCTCAGTCTGTGATCCCATCCTTCAGTCAGAGCAGCCCTCTGATCTGGGCTCAGCACAAGCAGGTCTTTGTGTGCGACTCGTCTCCTCTCCACACTCACACCACGTCCAGGAGGATCAGCCATTAATCAGAGCGCAGACGCAGGAGCGTGGCCTGGGCTTTAGAAGCCGAGTCTCTCGTCTCAGAGCTACCAGAACATTCATCACGATCGTCGTCCAGCTCGGTCCCACTGCTGAGAGATGCTCTCACAGCTCCCGGTGTTTCCAAGACGAATTGGACTGTTTTTTTTTCTTTTGTTCCTCAGATTTTCATTGAAAAATGATTGTACTGAATAGTAAATTGAACCGTGAGGTGTGTGGATTTAAGGCCCCATGACAAGTTGTGACCTCATCTCCCATTAAGATGCTCCTTATTTAAGACGAGATCACCTTCCCCGTCCCACAGACCCCTACTCCTCGCTAAAAGTACAACTGTACTCTTTGCACGTGTTTCAGGTGATGACTGACCGTTTAATACTCCTACTACACTTTTTCTTTACATCTCCCTTTATTGATTTGCTTTTGGTTGATCAAGAAAATATTTTTTTGACTGAATTAAAAGCTCTCTCACCTTAACAGGCAGCACAGCACAAGTCTCTGTAGCCCCTTTCATACATGCAGTGCCCTTCTGAAAATGTCTAAAGAATTCCTCCTGATCTGGGGTGGGACAGGGGGTCTCCTAAGGCAAGGCATGAAGACCTGAATGTAAAAAACAACCATGCTGAAGTCACAGTAAAATGCAACATTCACATGCAGACAGTCTACTCGCCTCGGTTTCATTCTAATTGTTTTCTACTCTGTTGTTTGTATTGCAGATAAGTCCGTACACACGTTGTCATAATGTTCAATTATTAAAACCGACATAATTAAGCACGCTCGACCCCAGCACCATCCCTGGCCTTAACCAAACAGCGTCTTTCCAATAGTGAGCACACATGTTTGAAAGTTCAGTCCAGTATTTCTTGATTCTGTCTTTAGTTCATAAGTGAAAACAGCTCTATCTACTAATACAACAAAGTAGACCTTGACACGCTCGTTCATGTCAGCGAGCTAATCAAAATGTAAACTTCTATCATGAAACCTGCATTATGCCTGATCATGTGTGACAATCCCTGTGCATACGTTTTGTATGTTTTAAGTTGCTGAAATGAAATTCTGATCTCTAAAAGAACCTTAACCTGCATGTCATTTTATGAGAGAACTTCTGTTGAACCCTGCAGACGGGAGTGGAGTTATTAATTTCCTATCAACATGTTTAATAGCCTTTCATCATTTATCTGTCTTTTCCTTGTTTAGTTATCTGTGGAGCTGGAGGGGAAATCAGCCAACGGAGAAATCAAAGAGCTTCTCCAAATACTGGCCAAACCCCACGTCAAGGTGAGTTAGGCTTCTTATCATCCTCGTAATCTCTTTTCATTTTATATACAGCAACTGTTAAAGGAAGAATGTGACATTTTAAGATAAGTACAGCAGAAATCAAGTAGGCCTATATCCTGTGTAAATGTGTCTCTGAGTCATGACTGTCTACAATGAGTGAGAAGCCTGAGTCCTGGCAGCTGTGTTGTTGTCAGAGCCGTGTTTACATGGAAAAGAAGAAGAACATACTCACTGCTTATTTGGATGTCACATTAGTGTCTTTAGATCACAGTCATTCTGTGTCAATGTATGTGCAATATGAAGCTACAAGCTAACTAAAGTGCGTTAACATTAGCATGCTAAGACAATGCAGGCCACAGGTTATTGCAGCTCGAGCAAAGAACAATTTTGTCCTCCGTTTGCGATTAATGGTGCTGAATCTCCTTCGTGTGAATGCGAGTGGAGAGGTGATGGAGGTGTGTCGCTGGAGGAGAGCCGAGGCTTCAGTATGGCAGAGGTGTCATCAAACAGCAGTCTGTTTTGGTTTCATGCTGGTGCTCAAGGGCGACATCTACTGGATCAAAAAGTTGCACATTCTTCCTTTAAGAAACTGCAAATAAACCAAACCAAAGATGTTTCTATGTTTATAATTGTTACAATCCAGATTGTACTTTCTTAAATTTGACATTTTGATGTAACTTGTTTTGCAATGTGCTGCAGTGTGTCCTTGCCGCCCAATAGGACATTACAGTTCTAATGCAAAGCAATCAAACAGATGCAGGTCAGTTTCTGCAAACTTAACAAGGACACAGTGTAAACGATCTGCTGAACGTTGATATCATACATCCATTTGAGCGGTTTCAAGCCTAATGTCGAGGAGCTTTATAAAAAATGTAAATGTTGGAGCGCGCTGGTGGCGCAATGGATAGGGCATCTCAAGCAGGCGGCCCGGGCTCGCACCCCGCCTGTGGCCTCTCTCCCACATGTCATTCCCCACTCTCTCTCCCTGGTTTCCGACTCTATCCACTGTCCTATCTCTCCATTAAAAAATAAAATCTTTAAAAAAATGTAAATGTCAGACTGATTAGTCTCTCAGATTATTGTGCAGATCTTCACTCTTCATATACTGCAGGTATAACAGTGATGTCATCATCATGCTGCACAGTCAGATCCCCGCCATGCTTTTTTCTTTTCTGCTCTTCCTCTTGGCTGCTCGGCTCATTGGCCTCGTTACCCAGACACAGACAGCTACAAAATGAATTTACACATTTTCAAAAAGCGTAACTCTGGGCCATCCATCAGACGCTGCAGGTGTCTCAGCCAGACGGAGCTGACTGACGATCATGGCGAGACACAAGGAGAGCTGGACCGGCTCCTTTTTTTTTAATGCTCCATCATCATGCTTTTTAGGGATCTGCCAGAAACAACAGCTCAGCAATATACACACACACACACAGACGCACAAACTCACACACACCAAAGACTACAGTGAAGTGCATACAAATATTAAATACCTCACAGAGTCAAAGATTGCTAAAAGACAGGGGGGTGCAAAAAGTATCAAGCTTACAGTTCAGATCAGAATGTGGAAATTTGGATGTCAACGCTGGTGATGTCATTTTGAAATCAATTCAGTAGTACACATGAAGAAAGAGGGATAATTATGAGACCTGTACAAACGCATGAGAGAATGGGATCAGGTTTAATTACTTTCATCATATTTAACTGGCAATTATCAAACAAGAAAAAATATTCTCATGGGGGATTCATACTCAACCCACATTTACAAAGCAGAGAAATATGGTGGCCATCTATCACAGCCGTGCTCTCCTGCTTATGCTACGTGGAGACGCTGCGATCTCTTCTGTCTCTGTCACGCCCGAAGTGAAAGGCTCCGGCTAAACGATCAGTGTGCTCGCCATGAGGCCTGCCTGTGTCAGAAACCCTACGTTTTTTATTTCATTTTTTTAATTCACTTACTGAGAAGGTATTTGGCAGAGCAAAGGATCAATTCACCACAACACAGAGTTTCTGAAAGTCATGGATCAGAAAGCTCAAAAACCAAAAAAACAACAGCTGACAAGTTGAGGAGAGGTGGAACTGTGGGCCAAGTCAACAAAAAAGTACTGGACTTATGGGTGCTGGTGGTCTAGTGGTGAGTTCGCTCGCCTCATGTACAGAGTCGGTTTTCCTCGAAGCGGGCAGCCCGGGTTTAAATCCGACCTGTGGCTCCTTTCCTGCATATCGTTCCCCACTTGTTCTCTCCTTGATTTCAGACACTATCCACTGTCCTGTCTCTAATAAAGGAAGAAAAAGCCAGAAAATAAATCTTAATAGAAAAAAAACCCTGGAGCAACAGAATCCACTTTAACAGAAGCCATGGTGAGTGTAACTTCTTCAGCAGACCTTTCACTGACCTCAAAGATGTAACTTCATTCAGTCATGTATTTGTTATTCACTAAAAGCTCCAGTTAGGCTTCAACCATCAGATATGACTAAAGAGTGTCTGTGCATGCCACTTCACCAGGACCAACTCCTTTCACCAACTTCTGCCTCTGTTCAGCCAGAGCCTGGCCAAAATGTACTTGTTGTCACGCTTTATTTACTTATTCTGTCTTTAATGCTGCCGCTCTGTTCTCCTCGCGCTGCTCAGTAGACCTCCACTAAAGTGCACAACGAGGTCAGCCAAACTTTTCCCCGTCAAACAGTGGAGAAAATTCGATAAGTGCGTCTTTAGCTGAAGCAAAGTCACAACTAAGGCCGAGGGAGGCAATGCACATCGGTGTATTATCCTTGAACTTCAGTATGGACTGATATGAATTCACCCAGTAGAAAATAGAAAAAAAACCACTTCTATACTTTTGATTTTAAGAGGCTTGTTATACTCTTTTCTTTGGGATCATTTAAATGAATCAGAAAATACTTTTAAAAGACATTTTCATATGTCTGGAACTTCCCTCAAGCTGCAGTGTGTCACTTTTTTAAAAGGAAAGCATCGTACCTGGTGTTGTCAAGTTGAGTGATTGACATTTTTATGTGTTTAAACTCTTGCACACCGTTTCTCAACCTGATCAATGACCTCACTTTTGGGTTTCAGTCAACGTTTTGAGCACCAGGGCCTAAAGAACAACCTGCTGCTCCCTGCTGGCTTTAGCATGAACACTTGGTCAAATGTAGATCTGTTCCAGTGTCTCAGTTTCTGGGAAGGACTCACAGTCACTCTTGACGTTCCTCTGTCATTGTGTCTCATACTTCTTGACAGAATTCAAGGCTTCAAGAAAAACATATTAAGAGTTTCTGTCTCTTTTCTCTCTCCATCTGTCCTCCAGGGCACTTGATACCATACCAGCCAGCCTCAGCGTAAATCACGAGGCCAGGGGTGTAAAACACAAGCAGATGGCTGCTGCCTTTGAATGGCGTCTCTGTGCGATAGTAACTGTATCACTCTTAATTATGTCTGAAATGATCCATTCCTAGGGTGGGGATATAAATCAGCCTCTGTAAAACTCCACTCTCTTTCCTAGCCTCAAACTTTCTCTTTTTACGATTTACACATGAAAAAACAACTTTAGAACATATTAGCCCCCCTCAGCAAGACTAATATTGACAGTGATGAAAGTGCCAATTATGATGGCCGGCTGTTTCCGTCAGCATGTATGGAGGTAGGTGTCTACATTGCCTGCAGAATGTGTTTGACTCGGGGCGATGCCTGCCGAGGTTCAAGGCTTACAGAGGGTGGGTGTCACATCCCAGCTGGTCTACAGCAGCGCCTCAATCTCACAGCAGGATCCCTCCCGCCTGGGGGGGGAGCATTTACCCCGTACAGATCCAGCACCGCCAGCTGAAAAACGAGCGGTCCGGTGACAGGACCAGGGGGGCTTTAATGAGAGGCCAATGCCAGGAATGTACGAGCTGGTTTATTTAGCCAAGCTCGGTGATCTGTTTTTCTAGGATCCCTATTATGCCTAATGAACACAAGCACACGAACCGAGGAAGGACGGGATGCCTGGAAAACAAGGGTGGTTTCGCTTCCCTTCATGTTTCTTTCCGTCCCTCATACCTCCTGAGCTGCAGGGCCGACACAAGGATTTCACCCCAGATTTGATTAAGGCGGCTAACCCACTGACACTGAGGCATAACAAGACCCACTGACTCATATCAGCCCAGGAAGAAAACTCTGCTCTACCTGTGTACTTGTACTCGCATGTCAACGGTCACCAGCCAGGCCGTTTGCCATGTGCTATCTATTAGCATACAGCTGTTTTTGCTACTTCCTAGAAAGTTTTCACAAGGAATTAGCTGTGGCTCTGTTCCGGGTTGTTAGGCACGGCCGTGGGGGAGAGTGTGGCGGTTTGGGGAGCAATGCCAGATTTAAGGAAGTGGCATGGACGAGAGGACACTCACAGGTCAGCATATTAGGTCTGATGGATGGAGTTCAGAGGAAACAGAAACTGGCGCCAACAGAAACTGGTTAGTGGAGGAAAGGTTGAGGTGAGCCTGAGATGAAGGACTATTTTTTTTTCTTTGGAAGTTCTCTTCACTTTTTATCTATACTACTTTTATCAGTCAAGTATTTCAGGCATTAAATATCATAACCATCTAAAAAGTCTTCATAGGAGCTTTAACTGATTTATGTTTCCTCATATAAGTCTCAACAGTCTGCACCCAGAGCCTTTCTCTAGATGTATCCAAGACAAGATGTCATGGTACCTGAGAGTATGGGGATTGTTAAGAGATTTAAAGGTTAGATCATCTGTAGTTTCAAGTGGTTTCCAGATACTTAAAGCTTTTTATTTGAATTACTCTTCTGTACTAGAACATGCAATAGCCCAATGACACAAGCTAAGATTTTGAAACGGCTACAAACTCTCTGTGCAGCAACATCAATTACCTGCATTTCTTCTCTAAACTATGTTAAATTGTCTTGTGACCAAGCAGCGACCTCCGGTGTTGAAAAATCTAGCCAGTTCATCGAGTGTCCACTTGAGGCTGGCTGCAGAAGCACCAAAAGTCACATACACATCCATTCAAAAAAGCTGGTTTTTACAGCAGAAATTAGCATGTTTACAGCCTGGTTCAAAATACGAAATTGGTCTGATTAGCTCATGTCTTTATTGGCACACATTTTCCAGGGAATGAATTTCTATATAACTAATCCATTTTGATCCGTTTAAAGGGTAAGTGTTATTCATAATAAGACACCTGGTGACCCGACTGATGGGCGGGCCAATGTAGCTGTTTGTCAGGAGGCTTAAAAGCGGCCTCAGCTCCAGCTCTTTGCCTAGTGTTAGATTGACTGAATTTAAGATGCAACAACATCTCCAGCATGGCGACCGCCATCGGGGGGATTCCAAAGCCCCCTTCAGTAACCTGAGGTAGATGTCACTCAGGCTCCGTCCATATTTATTTACAGTCTACTATGGTTAAATTGGATTTCTAGTACTCTCTGTGGGAGAAAAAACATAAAAAGACGGTAAACAAAAAAACGTTAGAGAGATGGCTGCTACATAGTCTGAAACAACCTTCTGTAAATATTTGCCCTGTGATGATATATTCAGCTCTGAATGAAATGGCCCTTCCACTCTCTGGTGATAACTCTGTCTTGTCTTGAGTTTATTGAATGCAACATAATTAAAGATCACAAGCTCATGGCAGCATGACCTCTCCGTCCTCCGACTCATGACTTGACATGCGGTGTTATAATCACAAAATACGGTCTGCTACATTGAGCCCTCTCCAGTTTAGTTTACCTTTTATTGTCTTCATCTGCAAACAGTTTTTGTTCCTGACGTTCCAAGAGGATATTTCAAAATCACAATGACAGCATCCGCAGATAAACAATAGAACACAAAGTGTGTGTTTGTACACGGTGCAGATCCAAGTCCAGGAGGCTTGTTCTAAGAAATGATGCTGGGAACATTTGAGGAAAAACATCCATTAAAGATAAAAATGAAGAAGAGAGAGGATCAGGGGTGTTTGGGATACGTTTGGACTGGAGAACCGATACAAGGAGAATGTTAGTGAGGAAATATGTGAAAACTATGGAATTAATTCAATATTTGGTCATTGTTTCAAGTTTGTGGGCAAATTTTTTGTTTAAGCAGAAATGGTTGACTACTTGTTCTTTCGTTTCGTTTTTTTTTTTTTTTTAAGTCTTTTGAACGTTTTGAAAGAGGAGATATTGTTCTAGTCTAGCTGAAATATTCACTTTTAATAACGCCCTCTGCATCTGTCACGGATAATATTCTCCTCTGAAATTGGTATTGTCACCTTACCCCTAAACACCCGACCAAACTCTCCTTACAGGTATTACAATATGTGATCGCATCTGTGTGTGTTTGGTCAGCTTGTGTCAGTGAATCCTGGCCACAGAGCTTCAGTTGTGTCTCCTCCTCTCATCTGCTCCCAGTTAGCAACATCTTGAACGCTGTATTGCAGCATGCTCCCATGTCATAAAACACACAGCTCCTTTTCTCACCATATCCCTCTCTCTTTCTCTCTTTTTCTCTCTCTCTCTCTCTCTACCTTCCTCTGGCACATGGCTTGGAAGATGTTTTTCTCACTCCCCACTCCACAACCACGGAAAAAGCAGCACGCGTCCAGCTGCATCTCGGTCCTGGACATGGAGTCGTTAAATAGTTTGAAAAATGAATGTCTCAATGGCATCATTCTTGTCTGCGTTTTGTCTCTTTTTTATGTCTGCTCGTGAACGTGTGAAATATCTGAGGCGGATGAGAACTTCATTACTTTGAGCTTGCCGCTGAAGAGTGCAGAACATTGCCTCTCTGAGTGTTCAGCACTGTGCCCTGGAAAGCAGAAGTACTAAAAAGGGTGGCCAAGGTTGCCACACCCACCTTATGATTGCAGTTTGTGCTTAGCATCGGCCGGCTGACTTTAATCGAAGAAATGTTTGGAGGAAGAACATGGGCCTGATGACAATTAACCCATGTAGCTACAAGTTCTGGCTCCAAATGCTTTTAAATCCATCACCCAGCTCTTGAGGGAGACACCCCAATTCATAACCATCCTCCCTGCAGTTTCTGCATTTTCTCTGCCCGGCAGGTACCAGGAAATGATAGATTATATTCTTAATTGCATGTATTGCTATTCTTTACTTAGCTAATTAGGCCAAGGTAAAGCAAAGGGCTTTGTGATTTGACTGATAACCTGTGCCTTGTGTTTCTTTTCTCCATTCATCCCTCTTCCTCTCTCCAGAGCCTTTTGTCGGTCCATGACACCGTCGCCCAGAAGAGTTATGACCCCGAGCTACCTCCGCTGCCTGAAGACCTCGACGACGATGAGGATTCAGTGAAAATAATAAGACTGGTGAAAAACAAGGAACCTCTCGTGAGTCAATTTTTTTCTATCATAACCTTAAAGATTCAGGTTTTTGATTTGTACCAGCTGGTTTTGAAAATGTTTTTAAAGAAGTTTGAAAGATGGTTTTGGAAAGTTGAGGTCGAATCCATGGTGTATGTATTGACCCTAACTAAGTATTGACCATAGCCACTGTTTGTAGACTGCCATTTTGAACACTAAGGTTTGGCATTTTTGTCATTGTGGTCTGGGTTTTATGAAGCTACAACTGACCATATTGGGACAAGAGTGTGGATATGCATTGTCACATCTCTGTCCTGGTTGATAGGTCATAGCGACTTTTCATTCCAATGCCTGTAGGCCCTTAAACATACCTCCATTTATTGTCTACTATAACTATAAATCACAACCATCATTTACTAAAAGAGCATCATGCTGCATTAAGGAAGATTTGTAACCAGTTATCTGAACCATAAACCCATTCAGAGGATTTAAGCATGATAATATATGAATTGAGAAGTACGCTGGTTCCGTTTGTCCCCACATCTCCACATACCGACGTGTAAGGGCCCTTTTAATGTAGCTTGCAGCTTTAGTTGTGGTTTTCATGTCATAAAAAATCCTTCTATCCAGACTTTGTTTACAAATCTCTGAATTTGGAGTACTGCCTGATTCAAAGCAGTAGCCAAACCACAAGTCAGGCCAATACCATACATGCTTTTGAGGTTTTTTGCCTGTGGGAATTTGACCCACAACCTTGAAGTTGTAATCGCACCGAAACCGTCCGCAATTACCCCGCTCTTGGCCATGAGTATTTTCAGCGAGTCTGGGCTCAGTGTCTGCGAACAGCTTCATTTTCTACTCTGGTCAGTGTCGCTCTCTCTTTGTAACGAGCCTCACATCCATGCTCTCCAGACATCGTCCCAGATGTCTACAACCACCCATCTGTCCTCGCCTGGGACCCGAAATGTACGTCAGCGACATCTAGACCTGCAACGTGGTTGCTGTTTATGTCGTCTGATAGATTCCATTTCATGCATTACCCTTGTCTTGTTAGCTAATGAGGCCCATTTCATATTGGGCTTGTCAACCCAACTTAACATGCTCTTGTTTTGGTTGCATTGCAGATCTTTCATTTTTTTATCTAAGTCATCTTTCTTCTTCCATTGCTGTGATTTCTCGTTTCTTTTGATTGACCTCAGTGTCCTGCAAAATATAAACACTCCACTAAGCAAGAACTCAGTAGCTTCTAAAAGACCTCCATCTGTCATCATACCACTTTGTTGTGCCCCGAAGGCACTCCCATCTCTGCTCCAGGCTGGACATGTCCTGGCCTCAGCCGCCTCTATTTTCATTTTGTGGTTTTTACCCTGACCACCATCTTGGCTCCAGGCCAGCGTCCTCCTCTCACCACACCCCGGGGGGAAGGAGAACACACCTAAGCCATTTTTGGGTTCCTGCCCTGTTGCATGTTCTGTGGAGCTGTTGAACGTAATAATGTGGTTTGGAGGAATTCACGCTCCCTCTCACAACACACATTGTCGCCGGCGCTTCCTGCTCATGCCTCTCCTGAGTCTGATGCTGGATCACATTCCCTGAAACCATAATGTGATTTACACCCACTCCGGTCAGTATAATTATCTGGCTGGTGTTATTCCATTACACAACTTGATTCTTTCTTGTCTTGGTGATTTGGCTCCTGAGAACTTCTGAAACACACATTTATGATGTGTGATATTGCATATTATTGTACAATATTAAAGGTGTTAATTATGTAGGATATATTTTTGAAGTAATATAGCTACTCAGTTTGTGTTATGCCTGCACATTGGTTATTGTGTGTTTCAAAGTCACCGTATGTAAATAGAGAAGGTGCTGGGCTTCCAGTGTACTTTTAAGGGTCAATGCCAGGTCGGTTTAAAAATACTCATCCAATTTGAGAGAGATTTAATTTAACACCATCGCCCCATATACAGTATATATCAATCTATTACCAATATTATTGCAATGGCTGTTTAGTTTCCTTCAAGTACATTTAATCATGCTCATTCCTGGCAACAAAATTGGAATCATAGCAGGAAATCAACTCGTTATAACATCCAACTAGCTTAAAAAAAACAAAGGTCATTCATAAATGTAGCAGCTACAACCACAGAATTTTCCATTGCAAATTATTGCACAGCAGTGGGAAAACACAAGTCAAACTGGACAATGAGCATGTCCACTTTAGAGTTATGGGGGAACTTTTTTTAACTTTCAACTGTGGGGTATATTCATCCTGTTTAAGATTCCTTCTCTCTGCCCAGTTGAACAACAATAGGATTCTATTGCAGGGCCCCTCCACCAACACAGTCAAAACCAAGCCATCATATTTGGGTTTTCCATTCTTACATCCATCCAACTGTTATCAAGGTCATATCTAATGAATACCGTGAGGGAATATTGGGAAATTTGGCAAAATTATCCGCTTGGACCCATGGATAAGGCTTCATATGTCTAGTTTGTATTCATAAAATGGGTCTGCTGCCATTTAAATAATAGTTCCAATAATCTTCAAAATGTGCAATAACTTTTGTAAAAGTAAAAAAAAACATTCATTGATTTATCATTGAATGCTGTTGTGTTTTTCTGACTTTGTGACCCTCTACTTTGACACTAAATTTAAAGGTAAGTTCGGACCCCTCCACAATTGGCATTCAAAGGTAAGCTGACCTAATGAGCACTTAAACTGACATTAAGAAAAGATCCTGCGGGTCAGAGCCTCATGGTGAAGTCACAGCCATTCCACTTAGCAACAAAAAACCATCTAATTGTGCAGGCTCCTCGTTCACTGCCGCACCAAATTGATTTGGATGTGCCCTTTAACTCGCAATTTGACATAATCAGCCTGAAATTCTCTAACTTGACATCATAGCAACCTGGCTGTACAAGATCTAATTTCCTCTTCGTCTCTTATTACTTTACTCTCCGTTATTTTCTCAATCACTTTTTCTCTTTTGGCCTTTGTCTCATTCAGTAGTTCAGTGTGGATGCGGCTGTGGTACGCATGCAGGCCCCCTTTCCTTGTGAAGCATCCATTAGCTTAATTGTGATTAGTTGAGAGGATTGTGTTCAGTAGCTCTGGTTAATTGCTGTAATTTCTCAGTGTTACTTTATACCACATTTCAGTTCAACTTTAAGGACTCTATCTTCCAGGAATACCTACGTCTTCTTTTTCCTCCCTTTCTTTTTTTTTTTTTTGGTTGAACTCTCTGCCCGCTCTCCTGCTGCTCTCTCAGTCCGACTGATTTATTGGCTCAAGTTTCAGGACAATGAAATAATTAGAGAGCAGCGTAAACATGTGTGTGCATACTGAAACATCAGCTCAGCCACGTCTTTTTATTGAAAGAATGTGCTGCTTAGGATAAGGTTTCAGAACACTTTAGTGGGGGTCTCAATTTTAAAGGCAAGGGGGTTACTTCAGTGCTTAGTATGTAACAATGTAGCTGATATACTACTGGTGAGGTTTGCCTCTGGTGAGTGCAGACCAACTAATAGGAGAAGTTTAGATAAATAGTTGGAGCAAGCCATAATGCACTGGTGTTACACAGCTCATGTCCCAAGCCAGAAGCTTTGAGGAGGACTTAGAGAGAGGCCTCAGCTTTAAAAAAAAAAAAAAAAAAAAACACCTTAAAAACTTTTGTGGTGTGAAAGGGCATATTCTGAATATTAATATTGCTAAAATAAATTATACCCTTTGGAAATAGATTATTGAGTGATGAGTTTCCTCCCCCTTGATTTGTTGTTCCTAGCTCTTTGTTCACACTAACCGGAAGGTCGGGGGTTCGATCCTGCAGCTACATGTCTGATGTGTCCATGATGTTGCTCCCACTGCTTCCTAATTGGTCTATGAATGTGTATGAATGGGATGAATTACTTCTGATGGTCACTTTACAAAGCAACCGTAGCCATCAGTAGTCAGAAGACTAGAAAAGCTCTATACATGCTCAGGTCCATTTACCATTCACACTGACAGGACGGCATTGTGTATGTTTCACTCAGATGCTCAAACATGTTTTATGCATTGTTTTTTTCATGTTAACCCCTTCATCTCTAACTGTTAACCCTGCAATTATGTGGCAGAAGAGAGACAGCCCCACCCTCTCAGGGACGCTGTTTTTAGAGGCATAATGACGTCTTATCGTTGCAAGGGTACAACTGTAGGAGACCCGACAAAATTCAAAAACCAAGAAGACGATTTGTCATTTGGTCTAAAAGGACAAACAAATAACAACCAAATCATCTTTGAGATGTATCTCAATTCACTTAAAAGTGATCGTAGAATCTTATTTTCAATGTTTATCAGCACTTGTTTCACTTAGTGGAGGGATGAAGGAGGTGTGTCCAAAGAAACCATTTGTTTTGGTCTGAAAATCTGCTCGGAAAGTTGCATTTTCTAACTCTAGCCTGACACTTAAGGAGACAATTATCAACTCCTTATCTTAAATTTGAATCATTTTTTTTGTCACTATTGTAGTCAGTCTCAAAGTTGGCTCCTCCAAGAGTGAGGACACGGTTCTCTGCTGACATACTGTTGCATGCTTTGCTCTAGGTTAAGAATGAGTCTTGGCTCATCAGATCGACACCTGAACTTAAGCAATGCCATTAGAAAGGTGATTGTTACCACAAACTGTCAAGAAGCCTGACCTTTAAATATTACCAATAAACTCAAGTTCAAAACTTTACCTTAAGTCATGAGAAAGAATGAAACTGGGAAACAAGCTGCTGAAATCATTTTCCTTGGCTTTTTGGCTTGGCTTAGACTAAGAGATAGGATAAGGAGCTCAGAATCATCCAGGAGGGAGCTAGGGGCACCTCTTTTGCATCAAAGGGAGTCAGATGAGGCGCTAAAGGAATCTGTAAACGATGCCTCCTGGGCTCCTCCCTCTGGACATTTTCTGGGTTTCCCCGATATAGACACAGTGCATGCCGTTGGGATAACATCTCGTGTAGCCTGGGAATAATTCAGGATTCCCAAGGAAGAACTGGAA